CGTTTTGAGAAGACGGCGAAGAGCGAGGAAGATGGAGAAACGACTCCAAAGAAAGGTTTGGGTGTAACCGGTTAAATTTGGTATCGAACGGTTCGATTAATTCAGTTTGGATCGGTTTAATTAAAAACATTTGGTTTTTTAAGAAAATGCATTGGAGTTAGAAACACAAGAAAAAGTATATTTTAACAGAAATCAAATCTTTAGGAGATATTTTGTGAGTTTATGTTAGGGGTTTTTTTTTTCCGTAAATTGTGATGAAATTTATTAGATATAAAAGCCAATATAGATTAAATTCTTCAATCACACTCTTATAGAAAAATTAAATAGAATCTACAAAATCCGTTAATTGATTACAAACAAAATTTAATAAAAGAAGATAAAAAAAAACAAATTCCATATCTAACCACACTAAATTTTAAGATAACTTTTTATCCAAACAGCAATAAATTTTAAGATAAATTTTGAAAAACAATCAATTGCCATAAAGTAAAAAAACAATGGACTATATGGCTCACGATAAGAACGTGAGACTTGCCACACCTGATCACTTTTATTTTTTATTTATCTAGTTTTGTCCGTTTTGTCGTTTACTTGTTTAAGTCGTAACTCACATAACCAATGAGCTTATCTCTTTTACCACTTATCTCTATAAAAATGATCTCAATCTCCTTCAACACAAAAACCCCATTTCAGAGAGTCTTCGATCTGCAACAACAATCAGATCAAAACCCAGAATTCCATTTTTGAAATCTAGTGAAAAAATCTCATCTTTAATATTCTTATTCTTCTTCTCTTTGCTCTGTTTGTTTTTTTTTACAAGAGCTCTGTTTTTTATCATCACCAATGGCGTCAAGGAAGCTTTTTTCCGTCAAGCCTAAATACATCTATCCAGTTCCAGAACCAGAGATCATGTCCGAAAACGATGATAATGTCTTTGAATTCGATGAATCTGATATTCATCATATAGGCGATCAACAATCACCGAATTCATTTGACACGAAGAGATCGAGATCAATCTCGCGTTTACGTAGAAAACCGACGAAAACCGGAGATTCCGGTAACCGGAAAACACCGCAAACCGGTTCGCTTCCGGTTAACATCCCGGACTGGTCGAAGATTCTAAAGAGTGAGTATAGAAGTCACGTAGTACCA